AACTTCATGGTGGACACGAGAGGTACAACTGGCAGTTAACGAGAAGAAAGCAGAGTTTAAGAATGGCTTGGAAACAAAGAGCCTTTTACTCGCGTGCGATACGGCAAAGCATGCAAGGTAGCAGCAGCGAAAGCAGTGATGAAAGCCAAAGCTGATTCTTGGGAGTGGAATTTCCACACGGCAAACAAAGTATTATGGCAGACCATCCGCCGGCTTCGAGGAGGAAAGAAGGACAATCTAAGAGTCTTGAAAGACTGGTCTGTGCACCCTCTTACCAAGGATGATGACATTCTTTGGCGATGAAGAGAGTGCCTTAAGGAACACCTTAACCCCGAGCAAGCACAGGAAGACTCGCCTGTGAAGCAGCAGGGAACGCATATTACTATTTCTGTAGATGAAATTTTACAATTTGTGAAAAGCTTTAAAAATGGAAAGGCTGATGGAATTGGTGAAATGGGCCCTGAAATGCTCAAGGCAACAGGCGAACAACGCATGTGCTGGCTTACACCTGTCTGCCAAACTGCAATGGCCACGTGTAAGACACTAACGGACTGGAGAATGGGTGGGGGTCGTATTATCCCTGTTCAAGAAGGAAGACCACAAAGAGTGCTCAAATTGCTGGGGCATTACCCAACTGAGCCTACCGGGAAAACTCTGCGCAAACGTGCTTGAAACGAGGTCCCGTGGAATAACTGATTCTAAGATACAAGAAGATCAGTGTGGCTTCAGTTTTGGCTGAAGGACTACTGACCAGAAATTCGCTCTATGCCGTATTGTTGAGAAATCATAGGAATTCGCCCATTCGGTATGACCGGATCCCGCGCCACAATCTATGTGGATGCCTGCGAACATGCTGGATCGGTCGCGAGGTGCTATGGGCCATCCAATAACTAAATGTTGATAGTAGGTGCTGTATCAGAGCAAATAGCACTAGTCGAAAACCTTCAGCATCGACACTGCTCTCCGCCAGCTTGCGTTCTGTCACGTCTCCTTTTTGTGTTATATATGAATAGAATGGTCAGGCGTGGTCAGGACGATGACTGTATCAGCGTAGGAGATATCAAAAGGAGTGTGATGCAGGGGGCAGATGACCTTGTTATATTGGCATTTTCTGAAGCTGATCTACCGCGCTCCCTGGAAAGGTTCACAACAGAGTGCGTAGTGGCTGTCATGTGTGAACGCAACTAAAATGAACAGCTTAGTGCTTACTTGCTCTTCGGCCCGTTGCTCTCTACAGATTAACGGAGAGGCAGTGGAGCAGGTGGAGAAGTTGAGATTCCTCCGAATCGTGTTTAATGGTAATGGAAAATTTGGGGGAAGAGATCGACCAACAAATAAGAGTAGCTGGTGGCGTTCTCCTAGCCCAAACCACTGACTAAAACAGAGCTGAGTCTGAAGATTAAGCGCTCGATGTTCAAGTCGATCTTTATCCCTTTGCTTACCTACGGCCATGAGTCGTGGACCTTGACTGAAAAACTTCGATCCCGGGTACAAGCAGCTGTAGTGGGCTTTCTGAAGCGAATCGCTGGGTTGACGCATAGAAATACAAGAGTTCAAATATTCGATAACTTTTCGATTTGTGTATAGTTCTCTCCAGATTCAGAACTCATAGCTGCGATGGTTTGGGTACATCTTGCGGGATGCTTCTAGAAAGAAAGGCAAATCCACTGTTATTCGTTGAACCAGCTGAACGAAGAACCGACGGGCACTCTGGGGCTCTTATTGTTCGAATGTCTCAAAGGAACTGTGCTCCAAATTCGGGATATCGTTTGCACAGGGGAGCTAAAACGATGATACAGGACCAAGAACGCTGGAAACTCTGTCTGATGCATCGTCGCCGCGGCTCAGAAAGACAAGTGATCATTGAAACTGATTAACGGTAAAGGCTGTAATCAAGAAATAGGGTGATTGAACGAATTGCTGAGTTAATAAGCGTTCAGTCTATCTGTGTACGTATAGCCCTGTTCACGTTTCAGTGCCCATACGGCTTAGACAGGGGATTGCAGTTTTCGTCAGGTATTACATGTGCTTGTGGTTTACTTGCTGCACTGCGCAAAACAGGAATCGTGTCCAGAATTCATATGCCTTTTGTAACGGTTTCCCAGAAAAAATATACTTTTGTATACCGTGCCTAAAGTTTGTCGAATTTTTGACAGGTCATTGAGTTTACTAATAGCCAGACTAAGCCTGAGATATGCTCAATGGAAAAACAGAACTCGAATTTGACTTAGAATTAACATTATTTGTCGCATTCCCATTGTCTGCCATTTTGAAAAAAATTATAAAAAATGTTTTCAACAAAATTTCCGACGTTAAAGCCCGTATTTCTTGAAAGAGTCAAAATCAACCGCCAAATATGAAGAAATTCATAAGGAGTGTAAGTCCGAAATATGCGTCATACATTTTGGAAAATGAAATGAGAAAATAATAATAATAATAGAGAAGGACTCGCTAGCAAATTTACTTTTATACTAGTTGTACATACAGTGGTACCTCGAGTCACGAACCCCTCTAGTCACAAACAACTCGACTCACGAACACAATTTCTGAACAAACTTTGACTCGACCTGCGTACAATGCCTCAGCGCACGAACGCACAAACATGACTTTGGGATAAGCGGACAAAAGCCCCCGTGAACAAAAACAAATTTTGACTCCACGCGCACAATGCCTCGGCACACTAACGCCTAAACTTGACTTTGGGGCAAGCAGACAAAAGCCCCCCGTGGACGAAAACCCCCTGAACAGGTCAAAATCTGTTCGGAAATTGTGTTGATGAGCCGAGCTGTTCGTGATTAGAGGCATTCGTGACCAGAGGTACCACTGTATATATAAAATAATTTTTGCATTAAATTAACCTTCATTATAGCTCTCAAGAAAATGAGAAGTGTTAGTGACAGTGGTGTAACG